CCCCGCACCCTTTCCCTTCTTTTTCAGACCGTCTTATTTTAGTATAGCCTGTACCTTCGGGACAAAGGTCACAAAGCAGTGGAGAGAATAACAACGACGATCTATTGTCCCCAAAGACGCCCATCACGCGTCACAACAAGTGCCTAATAGGTACGCCGCGCAGGCGGAGAGGGGGGGGGGGGGGAGGCTGTCGTTGCTGGTGTGGTTACCACGCACGGGGAGGCTTTTACCGTAGGCGACACAAGGTACCACACACCCGCTGAACTGATTTTCAAAGCTCGACTACTCCACGACCAAAAGCATGCCAAAATAGAATGACAGTTTGTTTTCGGAAAGATCTCGACGAGACAACTCCAACGCCGCCACGTTCCGCCACCGCCACTCCTTCTACTGCTGTGGAGCAATCGAGCTTTCAAAATCGGTCCAGGGGGGTGGTGGTACCTTGTGTCATGTCACCTACGGCAACCACACACACGCCCTCGCCGTCGATCAACAAGAAACCGAGCACGCCCCCGTCCCCCTGATCCCCATCCTCCTCAAACGTCCTATTTATTTTGCAGTCGCTTGCCTGTACGATGCAGCTCAGGAGGATGAAGAAGGCTCCGAGGGCCGGGTTGTTGGCCCCGTCCGGTTGGGCGTCTTCCGGCGCGATGAAGTTCGTGACGGACACGAGCACCATGGCCACGATGTTGATCGCGACGCCCCACCACATGTACGCCGCCAGTCTCTGATTCAGCACGAATGCCTGCCGCCGCCGCCGCCGGTGTGCGTGCGCGAGCGAGTAAAAAAAAACAAAAACACACACACACACAGACATCGTGGCCTATTGAAGCATTTCGTGTTTTTCGCTGCACTGAGACTGACGTATGTTCATTGGTCAGCCGGTTAGCGCGGAGGATGCCAATAAAAAAGGCATACACACACATGCACACAAGACCGTAAAAGGTCAGGAATAGATGAACACCTGATGGAGAACAAGACCTGTAAGCTATTATTGAGCTGTCTCATGTTGTTGTTGCTGCCGCCGCTGCTGTTATTGCTGATGTTGAGGTTGTTGTTGATGTGATGAAGATGTTGAGCCGCTCCCTTCTTCGCTTACAGCTCTCATGCCGAGAGTGCATACAACCGCAGGCGAGAACACGATTAAGAGTCACCCATCTACGGCGTTCTGCGTCTCAACAACACCAACAAGCCAAACACAGATGACGCATTCGATTGCACCGCACTGCCCACGTGAACACCCACATCAGAAACCTGGCGAACACTACTTGGTGTACTGTCACAAGATCATCATGCTTCATGCACGACAGACGAACTCATAGAATCAACCAAAACAAAACCAAAAAACAACAAATCTAAAAATCAACCACAATCATGAAAAAAAGTAAAAAATTAAGAAAAAACAGCTATGAACAAAAAAAAAATCAACGACAAAAAAAAAAAAAACTTTTCCGCACCTTCAGGAAGGCAGTCACGACGATGACGGTGCACCGCAGCAGCTGGAAGTAGCTCACGGTGGTAAAGAGCAGCCCGATCTGCGCGAAGTTCGTCCCCGCAAGGTCGAATATCGAAGGCACCACGAGCCACCCCAGCACGCGGCCGGGGACCTTGGGGGGGCGATCTTCTGGCGCCTTGAGGAGCTGTTTTTTTTTTTTCAAGGAGAGAGACGTTCGGAACAGTTTTTTATTATCGAAATCGGTTCAGTTTTGGGTCAGAAAAAAGAAACAAGGGAACAAAACCCAGGCGCGGAATCACCACCGTCGTGCTAGATACTCTCTGTGACACAACACCGGGAACAAAAAAAGGTGTTACCACCAAAGCTGCAACCCGCGGCCAAAGAGACACGGAAAAAAATGTAAAGTGCTGTGTGGGGACGAACGTTGAACCTAAACGATCAGACAGAAACAAAAACCTAAGACTTGGACCAGAGCCAGCCAGGGTCGGGTGCTGAGGCAGATTATGTACACATGCACAGCAAAACCAGGTTATATCTCGAACGGGTAGTCTTTCTGTGAGGGTATGTTTACTTTCTCAAAAAACCAGGTGCCCTCCCCCCCGCACACAACACCTGCTGCACGTAGTAGATGGGCAGCGCCGCCGACATGGCGACGAACATGATAAACGTCAAGAAAAGAGGCTTCTCGAAGTGGCGCTCGTTGCCCGCGACATCCGTCGAGCTCATCTGGTACAGCATCTGGCAGAGAACAACAAGACGACGGCGGGGAGGGGTGCGTGTTCACGTTTTTGCATGCCTTAGCGGTGATGTAGACCGCTGAACACGCGCCCTCGAGAGGACGGAGCGATGTTCCCCGCACCGGCGGCCGTTCCTTCCTATTTTTCCAAACGTGGCCCAAAAATGTTTTCCCTACAATAGCCTATCGATATCACTTGACGCCTTTTCAGCCGACTTCTCACAATAGTAGTCGCAAAGTAGTGGTATTCTACACGCGGTCCGTGCATGAGTCACCTTGATGACGATGCTGCTGCCCGTGCCACCGACGAGACCGAACAAAAAGCTCACGGTCCCAACCTTTGGAAGCGTTTCGAGGGGGGGGGGGGGAGGGGGGGTCATGGTGGCTATCAGTATTGAAATTCGGACAAATGATCGGAGTGTGTGTTTCGATGATTTGATTTTACCATGTAGCAAAGAAGCAGCATGTGAGAGGCTTGTCACACTGCACAAACAGCGACAGCATCCTGCAAGGGGGAATCTTGAACCTTAATACACCGCACAATTTCCATTCCTCTGTGTACTCGCAAACAAACGCAGACTCTGATGTGAATTCCATTCGTCAACCGCGTTTATCGCGGTCGAGATGGGTCATCAACACAGAAATACATCGGTACTGCTATACACGCCCAAAAAATACACACACACACACCGAATCCGAAATCAGTTCGTCTTCAATAACACGGCAAGTAACGTGGAGTAGAGTCCCCCGTCCCGTCCTAGTGCCGGCTAGCAAGGCCTTGATGACTATCGTTCGTTCACGCGGGAAGAGTAGACAGACATCGGACACGCTACGGAGCGCGGGAATTCGATCGCGAAACAAACAAACCCCACCTACCCTCAGTGAATGTAGCCTTGTCTACGCCGGGACGTGAACGCAAATCGGTCAGAGATTGATATACCAACACGGGTCTCTCCCTCTCTCTCTCTCTCTGTGTGTCTCTCTCCCTCTCTGTCTGTCTGTCTGTCTGTCTCTCTCTGTCTGTCTCTCTCGCTTTGTATCTATCTCTCTGTCTCTCTATACCCCCCCCTTCCACTCTCTCTCTCTCTCTCCCTCTCTCAGAAAAAATCCACGGCACCATGATCATGCGGTTACGTTTTACGGCCCTAGCACCGCAAGCCTCCGGCCAATGATTCAGAAACAAAAATACCCACGAGATAACACGCCCGACCGTGTTTTGGTGTGCAAGCGGTATTGCGAACTTTGCGCACAAAATCATTCGTAAACGAACGTACGGTTACATCGCGATCGACGCCCTGGCCACGCACCGTATTGCAGCCAACCGGCTCCGCCATCCCGCTCATCTTCTCTCCGCCCTGAGGTTGTTACCCTTCGCCTTCCTCTTCCCAGCGGCGGGCCCCCCTCTCCCTCTCACCAACCTCCGGCTGTTGTTTCTGCTGCCTTCGGCCCAGGGCTCTCTCCCTCTCTTGTCCTATCTAGGTGACATTGCAGGGGCGGCGGTGTTGCACACTAAACGACCACGTGTGCGGAGCGCTTTCTCGCCGTTTCACGACTTTTCTGTTGAGTTGATTCTTGATATTCGCAGCATTTGACTGATGACGTTTGTTTCTTGGAGGCAGGCGTGCTAGCTTTGTGCTAAATTAAGCATTGCTGGGTGTGTATTTTTCGCAAACACCTCGTCAGGAGGAGGTGTTCCATTGCATTTTTGTTCCATTGCGTTTAGAGTTTTGACTTTTGGTGCAGGGCGGCGCTGTGCTGTGCTTTTTCAGTGTAGCCTTACGCTGCTCGTGTCAGAAGCCACACTCCACTACTACGATCATTCTCAAGAACACAACTACTAAAATCTTGGAGGGTGGTGAAGGTGCGTTGCGTATTTTGAGTGGCTTCTTCCTCTTCAAGCAGCTTGTCATGGTGCAGGAGGTGTGTGTATGTATTCCAAGGAACGAACGCATCAGGCCTACTACCTGCTTTCTGTGCCTATACACCTGCTTTATCTTCGTTCTACCGACGATGCTGGAGGATCGACACTTTTCAGGTACGGTCCCCAAAACGCCTCCTCATCATGTGTGCCAAGGGTGCTACGGACACTTCGTGAGGAGCGGACAGGCTGTGCTATCTGGTCAAGTAAGTACTACCGTGGTCGCAACGACTGCCTGCCTACCGAATGATAGGTGACACAACAATAAATACAACACGCGCGCCCTGGGTCGATTTTCACAGCTATTCATAGCTCCGTGTGCGAAGAGGACGTACAAACCAAACGATACAAATCATGTTTGTTTTCCGGAAAAGGCTTCCGACGAGACGCCTCCATTTTCGGCACCGCCGCTCTTCTTCTCTCCTGCTGCGTGGAGTAATCGAGCTTTACTTTGAAAACGGGTCAAGTGGGGGCGGAATCTCGTGTCACGTATTGTACGGTATGCATTTACAGCACAGCAGTACACCGACACCGGCCGTACGGGTGATCGTCGCCCCTGGCGTACACAGAACAACAGCAAGCAGTGATGGTATGTATGTTGTATGCATGTGATGGTGTGCAAATTTATCACGAAAATATGCACATGATCGTGCGCAAATATATTTGCAAATAAATTTGTCACGAAAATTCAAGACCGAACCAACCTAGACTATCCGTGTATCTATTTATTTGCTACAATAGGATACGTACGAGGAATATTGTTCCAAAATATAAAATATGTACACGCAAAACACAGACGGAAAGAGTACAGCAGTTGTCTTATGCTAGATGTACGGCTGTGGGTGGTCGCCCCTGACCTTTACGTAAACACGACACAGCACCAGCAGTGAGAGGCTGGTGATGAAAAATAGCTGGTACGTATGTATGCATATCATATGATGATCGCGTGGATCGTGCGCAAATTGTCGCAAATTGCAAGACCGAGCCGCGCTGTTGCGTATATCAATGAGGCAACCTCTTACCTTGGGGTAGACACCTCAAGTCCTGAAATGTGCACCGCCGTTGTAGTAGTACGTATGGACTGCTGTAGTACTTATTGTGTACTTGCACGAGGAGGCCACAATGGATGGAGACCACCAAGTCGACCGCGACCACAAGTGGTAAGCACTGCAGCTGCCCCTTGACAATGGAGCCTATTATGTACCCTACAGTGTAAGAGAGCCTTACAGAAATTACAGAATAACACATATGCACCGCCAACAAAAGATCCTGCGGTGATCTGATGATGCCCCCCCTCCAAAAAAAATCATCTGCCTTGGTTGTAGAGCAAAACAATCATCTGCCTTGGTTGTAGAGCAGTGTAGAGTCGCACCTGCTTACGGCTATATGCGTTTGATATGCATATGCATACTTGCTGTAAAACAACATGACCGAGGGGAGAGGAAGTGAGCTGGATCTACCCATCCGCAACCGTCAAGAGGGAAACCTTGGCCCCACATGACCCTTGGTGAAACACAACCGATGGCTCTGACTGGGGCAGCGGCACGGCGGTGGACAGCTCCGTCGCTATGCTATGCATGTACAGAGTCGACAGCAACGGCAAAATAAATGCTGTGCGTTCCATCACAAGTGGTGCTGCGGGCGGGGGGGGGAAAGCCGGTCTCGTGATCACAGACTACACGCTAGCCGGGGTCAAACCGATATGGTTCATTTGGATGGACACGGCGACACGGCTGCTGCTGAACGGCTTCCCCTTGCTTCCTGGCTTTTGGCTGCGCACCATCGTTTCGCACATGATAGGGTCGTCATGGTACTACTCCGTGAGAGGCGCGAACATGTGTTTTGTGTGGATATCTGGGGCATTTTGTGGAGTCGCTGTGTGCTTCTCTCGCTCTAGGTTTACAGCTCAGCAGTGCTCAATGGAAGCAAAGAAAACGCGTCGCGGTTCACGTCTGTGATATCAAGGCAACCCTCGCACCTCTCCACCGTTGCTAGAGGATGTGCTGCGGTCCACCAGAGTCGTTCCAAAGTTGGCATCATGGTTGCCCGCAAAGCTGCACGCTTGCTGGGGGGGGGTCCGGCAGACCATAATGGATGCATAACCAACGGTCGGTCTATTTGGTACCGGTTCGTACGCCGATAGGCGGAAACGTTTGGTCGAGTTCTCTTTCTCCTCTCGACCCTCCACGAAATCCACCACAGCAGGTAAGTACCTGCGGAACGGCGGAACGGTGGGAAGAGAAACCGAAGACCTGTGGGGAAAGAGGCACGCGATTCGCACCGTTCGAGAGCGACTCTGTGAGCAGGATTGTTGCACGATTCAATCGGTATTCTGTGACCGTCGGTTTTGGCAACCACCGCGCGGGAGGTTGCCAAAACACGCCGAGGGGCATCGGGACTACATCCACGTTGTTGGTCTCGTGGCGGACTGGAATTAAATCCTTCTGCTATTGATTGCGACGGCGTACGTCAGAAGTCAAACGTCCTCCGCGCGGTTCGCGAAGGGTGGTCACAGCATCGCAAAAGACAGTCAACTCAAGCCGCCGAGCAGTCGTTGCTGAACCTCTCGTTTGGCCAAAGGCTCAGCCGGCTCCAGGCACGACCTCGACCGGAGACAATTTCGCGAGTCACCTGTGACACCACACACGGCGTAACAAGCGCCGGGCGCGGACATGGAGGAGTATGAGCCAATCAAGGTGCTTGGCGAGGGTTCCTTTGGTAAGGTTTACCTCATGAAGCACAGCAAGACCAGGGACCTTGTCTGTACGAAGGTGAGCAGAGACTCTCCCAGGGGCACACCCGGCGCTAGCAAGCAGGCCGATTTTTCTGTCCAATGTGTCACGTATTCGGCCGGTGTTGACGCTAAGGATACAAGCACGAGTCCAGCGGGCATATGCGACTATGCAAAGCACCCCCCGCTGATATGAAATTTGTATAGTCTAGACCGCATGTGTACAAGCTCTTGCCCGACGGGTAAATGTATGTCAACGGGATCGTCCCTTATCTCATTAGTCTATGCGGGGAGGGGACGATCTCGCGGCAGCATCAGTCCATTGTATGGCCAACGATACACATGTTGCATGACCATAAGATGCTCCAATGCCACACAAAGACCTATGATAGCTAGACATTAGCCCTGCATTCCTTCCGATAGTGAAATGCGCGAGCTCACACACGAAGCGATACGCAGTAAGTTTTAGGGTCGATCAGTCACCTCTAGACTGTTCGTATCGAGCGCCCTGGTACGAAGATACAAGGACTTCGGACGTGGGGGCCTGCCACCGCCCCCGTCCTCCGGGATAGGGCGGGAGGATGTGATTCCTGTACAAAGGAACGGAGAGCTGCGTACCAAAGGGGCACCTTTTTTGCAATAACAGTCTAACTCTGCGGGTAAAGTGATGTACACACTTTGTACGACCCAACTTCCTTTTGGGGCCGCGAGGCTTGAAGACAGGTTCGGCCGTGTACCTGGTCACATTATTTTTCGAGAACGAACACGGCCTACGGTGGCCTTGTGCCTGCCAGTGGCTGTACACATGCCGCCCGAGGAAGGAAAGATGGGGAGGTGACTTTGCATCTACCAGCAGGGGTAGGGGTAGGTTTCCTCTTCCTGCACTCCCCCGCAGGTTGGGGACGTGACAGGCGTGCGCGGAACTACAAGAGCACCTGCCGGGGAGAGAATGGTGGCGGCGTAGTTGCATTTACAGCCTGCCATGGAGTTTTGTTTTTTTACGCCGATCACTGCATGAATCGCCCTACCAACGAAGCCTTCAGTCTCGAGAATAGTGTGAAGACGTGCCCTTCAGCACTGGAATACGCTGCAGTGCAAATACACGTTTTGAGAAAACCCTCCGCCAGGTCAGGAAACGTAAGTTTGTTTGTCGTAGTTTCTGCAATAGGCGGGCAATACTCATGCTGGCAATGGAGAAAATATATATGCGTAGATGACGATAACTGTATGTATTCCGGACGGACGGCCACTTCCTCAAAACTGAAGCAAGTAGGCTGAAAAAAGAGTAGCCGTTCCGAGAGTGGTAATCTAGTGGCATGCGACCCGACAAGGATCGTTCTTCGCTTTCCACGCAAACCGCCGGGGTGGAAGGCCTACTGTAGTCCCGCCTCTGGAGGTGAATCGAAACATAGAGTCAACGAAAAAATGCTGTCCGATCGGTCGAGGTTTTCACCAGTTGCGATCCGGTGGTACTTTGATCAGTGTTGCAAGACGAGGGAAAGCAATGCAGAAAAGTGCATCGTGACGAAAGCATTGTTGCTGCTCGTCTCTTGGAGCCTGGTGTAGCTAGTGAACAGGGGCTGGACACGGCAGGGTCCCACAAACGTCATGCGAACAGCAGAACTCAATGCTCTATGTCGGCCATGAAGGGGGCGGAGACACCCCACCCCTTCGAGAAGAGGCGCGTTTTAGTTCTCTCAAGCACCTTCTCATCTTGCAAGATTTTTTTGATGGGGGTGAACGTCCTTTTACAGTGCGTGGCCATACAAAACCACTCTCGACACCAAACAAGTGTCTTCTTGTGACCACTTATTTTCTGTGGCCAGGTGATCAAGCTCAAGAATATCCCACCGAAGGAACAGGAGGCCTGCAAGAACGAGGTCGAGCTCCTGAGCCGCATGTGCCACCCCAACATCGTGGGCTACACCAACTCATTCCTCTACAAGAACTGCCTGTGCATCATCATGGAGTACTGCGACGCCGGCGACCTCGGCGACCGTGTCAACGAGGCAAAGGTGTGTGCGCGCGACTGACAGACAGACGCCGGTTACATTTGCGCTGTGCTAATGTTTGTGGTGGTGCTTTCCTTTCGTCCGTATGCCTTGTGGTTGATGTTCGGAAACGGTTGTGCATCGGGGGCGACCTTCCTTTGTGACTTCAGAGGAAACCAGTAGAAAGTTATCTGGGGTCCTTGATGGCCTTGGCCTCTTGTTTCGCGGCGAGCGACCTCGAGATCAATTTTATTTTTGTCTTCGTTGTACGATTTTTTCCTTCGCTTGTCGACGAGTCGAGAAGGGCCTGCCACTGGCAATACCGATTAAAAAATAACACCGTAAAGTAGGTCCTGGTTTTACGAGCGGGATCGAATGCTTTCAAGAATACAATAGCGTTTTTGGGCAGCGGAGCAACAACAGTTACCATGTAACTGATGGCGCTTGACAACCTCTAACCCTTACCCGTGACTCCCCGCGCGGGAACAAACGCTCTCCCCTGCTAGGGCCAACTCCTCCCGGAGAGCAAGGTGATGACCTGGTTCGTGCAGACGGCCCTGGGGCTGCACTTCATGCACTCCAACCGCGTGCTCCACCGGGACATCAAGACGCAGAACGTGTTCATCCTCAGCAGCGGCAGGGTAGTGCTGGGGGATCTCGGCATCTCCAAGGCAAGCAGGGGGGGGGGGGGGGGGACTCCAAATCCTGCATGCCCTAATCCTTAAACCATTTACCCCCCATCCCTACAAAACCGGGACGGAACACGCCGGGTTTTCCCCGGAACAGGGTCTCCCATCACCAAACGCGAAACGCCCTGAGGGATTTGGGGAATCCCATGAAGGGGGAACTGCATCCTGCTAAGGGGGTTCGGCATCTTGTGCTTACTTCCTTGCGTACGGATGACAGCTACGTATGACTTAATTTATTTTCTGGTGCTTTCACTTCCAGAGACAGTTGTAAGCACTGTGTAACTGCCTCGAGGATGCTTGACCATTTTAACACAACGTGGTGCGATCATCCCCCTTGCGCGGAGTGAGGGTTCTCCACCCCGCACAACATGATCTACTCGACCACCATTATGGTTACCGCCAAAAAAAAACGAGGTAAAAAAAAACGGTAACCTGGTTGCCGAGTTCACGAAGTGAATTGACTTGTTTTACAACGTCGTTGCCAAGCGACGAAAACCCAACCCCGATGGCAAACACCGGGGGGGGCGGCTTGTTTTACAACGTCTTTGCCAAGCGACGAAAACCCAAACCCCGATGGCAAACAAGGCCGAGGAGGGGGGGGGGGTTGATCATCTGGCAGTCGACGGGCTCACTATACAGCGGTTTACTTAGCTGCCAATTGTTGTTGCTATTGGGGATGTGCGGAGGACGCTAATCTGTGAGTGTTCTTCCGGCCGGATATGGAGGTTGTATATCGGTGATGTTTCGACAAACGCGATTTTTTTGTACACATGACATTGAACATTTTCACGACGTTCTTCTTGTGTGTGTGTGTGTGTTTGTTTTTGCCGCCTGTGTTGTTGCCTTACCCGTTGGCACCCCCTCCCCCGTCTCCTCTGTTGTTCAACACGAATGCTTCCCTTCTGCACGACGAACTACAAAAACACACTCGCCATTTTTCTATTTATGGGTCGCCGGGCGAGAGTCACTGAGCCTGCACTTGAAAGAAACGAACACGAACAGCACCCTTCTGAAAAAGGAGTCACGGGTGACTAGCGCAATTATTTGACGCCACGCAGACCCGTTCTCTTCTGAAAACGAACAGCTCTTGGGCGGCACCCGCGATTTCGCGAGCACCTGCATCGGGACCCCTTACTACATGTCGCCGGAGATCTTCAAGAACCACCCGTACAACGACAAGTCCGATGTCTGGGCCCTGGGGTGTCTCTTGTACGAGTTGCTCACGCTCAAGCACGCCTTCGACGCGCAAAGGTGGGACAATAACCCCCCCCCCCCCCCTCCCGCTCGACGGGCGATAATGCGTAACCCCCGTCCCCTCCCGCGCATTGCCTCTCCTTTTTCAAGCTTGCACCCTTTAGATCGCCCCTACTCAGAAAACCCTTGACTCGCGGGGGGTATTTTTTAGGTTGTTCGTGCTCCGTCTATTTTTTCGAGTCTTCATCCTCGTTGGCTCTCCCAGAAGTAGTGTAGGCGTGGTACCATATACGTCTTGAATGGGATATGCCTGCGGGAGAAAATTGCCGACGAAGGCCATAAGCGTAGTATCTCGGCGATGCACTCCCGTGAGTCCCTCGGCCGCCGTCCCCTTCACATTGTGGGTATGTGTTGTGCGTACCGCGGCAGAATGGTTTGTATTCCCTCGGTTTAAAGGTGGGGCTCATTAGAGGTGGTGCTGTACCCGCGGTGTGCCTCTAAACTTGTTAGATACCGTCCCTTCACTGTTGTGGCTGTTCGGTTGCGAGTGTCTTGAGGCTGAAAAATCGACTCAATGCACACCAGCTACAATGCACGACGACAAAAATGTGAGACGAGCGTGATGCTGTTGTCTTTCCTGAACGCATGCGTACCCCCTACGTATCTCGGAATCCTGTGTCCCTCGCGAGCAATATTTAAGGACAGTTTTGTTGAGGGCGTTTCATTGTGAAAAAATGAAACGAAAAATATGCTATCAACAGCCCTGGAATATCCGACACACATATTTTGCTGCGAATCTAACCAATAACATATACAAACAAACAAAACAAGGCAATCGCCGAATTGCCGCCCATGAACAAGCAACCAACGTGCAAGTTACGCAATATCAGCTGCTTGTAGCAAGGACCACTCCTACCTTCAAAGTCGTCCAATTAAATCATTCCACCAACCACCCGAACTACCGTCCCAATCGACCGATAGATAGCCTGATCAACCAATCAAAATCCGAATGTTGCACTCAAACCCACCGAATCAGCAAATCACGCCCAAGCAGCTAACGCTCCGAAGCACCACACATACACCAAACCGACCGACAAACCGCAACTTCAGCCTGAACGGCCTTGCCGGCAAGATCATCAAGGGCAAGTTCCCCAGCGTGTCCACCCAGTACTCCAAGAACCTCCGCGCCCTCGTGAACGACATGCTCGCCACCAACCCCAAGAAGAGGCCGGACATCGAGCAGATCCTGCGCAAGTCGTTCGTGCAGACCAGGGTGAAGGAGTTCGTGGGCGACCTCGACGCCGACGAACTGCACCGCCAGGTGGAGAGATGTATGGTAGTCTTTAGGCTTCCAAGCGCTCGGGTTGCGCTCGGACGGATAGACGCATATGGTGCACCCTTCGTGTTTCGGTGACCGGCGACGCCGTTTACTGAGACAACGTGACACACAACATACAACAAAATAGGTGTAGTTATTGCTAGCTGCCATGGTTCAAGGACCGTTCCGAGGACGGTTTCGTTCTCCGGGCAACATTGCGCATCACCGCGCCGACGCCTGAACACCGTCCGGTAAGGGTCTGAGTGGCGGTAAGGCGTTGGCTGGGGCGATGTGCCCATTTCATTTCGTGCAAAGTGTTGTTCGTTGTCGCTATTGTTCCCCGGGGCACGGGGCACGGGAAATTTTTTTTTGGAATGCTTGTGGGGGGGGGGGGGGGGGCTGTTTGGGGAGCGCTTCTCGGGGTGCGACAGTTTCCCCTGCTGCTGCTTGTTGGTGGAAATAATGGTTTTGCGGCGGCGGCGGTGACGGTCGTAGCGGTGGTGGTGTTTCTGCCACGGCCAAGTCCCTACGCAACGCCACCGCCCGCACGTTTGTTCACCAGCCATCGTCACCAGCCGCGCGCATCTACCTTCCGTGGATACCTGTCCGGCTGCAGATCCCGGCCGCGGGGCATATGAATAAGCGATCCTTACACGATTGAAAAACAGCAACCAATGATGTCACCCACAAGAGAGCACGTCAACGCCTACCACCTACCGCGTAGCTTGTCCGGCAGAACACCCGCCCCGTTGCTTGAGCGAAAAGGAAAGACACTTGCGTAGTGCTGTACCGAAAAAAGCCCGCTGGTGATGCCACAACTCGATGATCGCAGGAAAAGGCCATGCACGCCCTGAGCGACCAGCTGATCGACCTCAAGATGGACGACGCCGTTCCGATGGCAAACCTTATCGTGGAAGAGGGAGAGGGGGACGGCCCTAACGCCCCCTCTCCCAGTGAATCGGACGCGGCGGCTGCCGCTGCCGCCGCCGCCGCCAAATCCGGGGGCTCTCGTTCGCAGCTCAAGGCCCAGAAGCACCAGGTGACCCGATAAGAAGATGATGACCAAGGTCTTGTTCATTTCCACACACCACAACAACGAATAACACCCGCGGAAACGGTCAGTTGTTCAGAGGGTGGGAGAAACGTGTGTCCAAACGCCACTTCGCCTGGCAGAACTAATTTCCGACACATCGAATGGTCGGCAATCGCTGTTGTTGGGCATTTCAGGTCCGCACAGCGATCACGGTACCCTTAGCACACTTGCATCATTCTTTACCGAAAGATGTAAGCTATCAACCAAATTAGGCATGCATTCATGGATCACGCACCGACGTGCATGAACCGTGCTGCTCACACCACACACCCCGACGTTCGTTACAACCACCCCCCCCCGGTTGATACTCCGTCCCCCCCCCCCCCCCCCCCCCGGGGGTTTCCAAACGGGTTTGGGTTTTTGTGCCTTTTGGAACAACCTGTAAAAAAAAGGCGCCCCCCCCGGGGTTGCCCCCCACAATGGGGTTTCCTCCCCGTGGAGAAAAGGGGGTGAAAAAAAGGAAAAATGGGTTGGAAGACTTTTAGGAACAGCTTAACCCGTTTTTTTTTTTACCCCCGGTTTTTTTTTTGGGGGGAAAAGAGGGGGGGGGA